GCTGCGACTAGACAAGAGCCCACACTATCTTGGTCTTCATATCTTAGTCTATTTAACCTAGTACTCGCATTATTGGGTGATATATATATATATAAATTTTTCTACCACTAGGAAATAATAAATAATATTAAATAAGTCTTCAAGTCAGACTTAAGGGTCTTCTGGAACAATGCGTAAACAGTGGAGAATTGGAAAAGTGGAAAATGAATGCACTTCTCCAGCGAGATGCTAGACCGCCAAATGTGTATAACTTGTTGGTAGGTTTCAATGAAACGTCCATGTAGACTAACATTCCGATAAACGATGCAATGAAAGCTTTAGGATTAATTCTCGATCGACACTGGGTGATCTACTTAGGAAGTGGAACATAAAAACAATGAAATTAACACTTTCTTAGTGGCTCCTTCGTTTAGAGATTATTCAGACCCTCTCTCTAAATCAGGCTGTTACAAGGTTTTGTGCCCATGTAGTAAGGTATATGTGGGGAGACCTGCCGATCCATTCATAAGAGAATATGTGAACACAAAACCGCTTGTAAAGGTCTGTGGGTCAAAAAATCTGAGCTCGCTGAACTCATAGCCAATACAGGACACTCGATAGATTGGTCCAAAACACAAGGTTTTGCGGGTTACGGGGACTTCACGTCAAAGCGTAAGATTAGTAAGTATATTGAAATTTACAAAATAACCAACGTCCTGAATAGAAGGAATGAGTGTAGAAAACTAAGTAGGAACTATTTGTGGCTATTGGATAGACTTAAGGAAAGGTAGGAAGAGGGGGTGCAGGAAGAGCCACTGAGCAAGAGAAGGCTGGATTAGCTCCGAGTCTTGCTAGGACTATCACACTTCTCATGATATTAATACAACATACACACAATAGGTAATAGCATAAGCAAAAAAATTATTAAACATTAGAGGATCGTATACTAGTTTATTTGAGTAAGGAAATAGCTGCCACTGAATGCACTTCCGGTTCGAAAAGTAACTTCATTCATTTGCAAGCATGTAGAGTAAGTTTGAAGTAGCCAACCAAATCATGGGATGCCTCATTAGGATAGCAAAGTTAAGCGTATAAAAAAAGCGACTAGTTACAGCCGGCCACCTTTTCTATTGGTTTAGTATATTTTTCTTCTATTTTGTGAAATATGGATATCTGCATTGATTATGTCTGTCAAAAAAACAGACGAAATCTTAGCACAGATTCATCGGGGTCGCAGGAGGGTGAGCTGAGGACTTCTTGGCATAATTTACCAGTCTTCTCTACGCGGCAATCCTCCTTCGGGTTCCGGCGACACCACATCACGAATTCTTTCCAACCAACTTTCCCTTCAAAATGGAGATTCATGCCATTATAAAGCATAAGATATCCAAACAAAGCATGAGATGTCTAAGTGGACCAAATTGGACTATATGAAGTAAATGGATTTAAAGTGGGCCACCTTTCTTGCCTTCGAGTTTTTGGTGAATTATCATTAAGTATGATGTCCTACTCTGATGATATCCATCACATGACGGAGGAAAGCTCAGCAAGGATTCATTGGGGTCGCAGGGCGGTGGGCCAAGGAGCTATTCGCACAAATATACATTTACAGCTCCAATACAACCCCTCCACAGCTTCCGGTGGAACCAACTTACGAATACCATCCATGTGTCTCTTCCAACTAAACGAAAGAAATTTCTACATCAATTTACCATCAGGTTTCCCTTAAGTAAGTAAATGCGAGTTATTCATCAAAGTGTAACACATATTTTATAATTTATTAAGTTTTTTCAAAATAAAATCTTCAAGAAGTTCGATTAAGCGTTGTGAAGAATTGAGGTTCATATTGCTCATATTAAGTTTAGTCAATTGTAAATAAGCGGTGATATGAAATTGTAATATTTTTCTGTTTGCGTATTTTAATTTCGTTTAAAATGACGAGTAAAAGAGGTTCTATACTTAGTCCCGCTAGCAAGGCTTGGAGATGGAAATTTTAAGTTGGCAACTAAGTCCATGTCTAAAAGATTCTTTATAAATTAAAGATAAAATAAAACATTTTCCATGCAGTGTATTACTACGTCGTATTTGTTAAGGGTACTTGGTTTACTAATGGATATTGGAGAGAGATATCTAGAAAGTATACAAACAAAAATTCGGTTTAAATGAATGTGTTGTTTCATAATTGTGGGGATTATTTGTATTACAAGTAGTGTTTGGTGAATAGATGGGAAGCTAGATCTCACCGGATGATGGGGTATTCCTCTTGAACAGATGTCAATTGGTTTTACTGAAACATTGTTATTGACGATGATTCCGAGACAATCTCTATAGATTCCGGTGAAAAAGTGCAAAAATTTCGTCCGTCGTATGACGGTATTCCTGATATTCAAGGTATTGCTTATTCACTTGATTTTACGTTAAGCTGCAGACATTCCATAATCGTCAAAATGAAAATTTTGAGACCATTCAATCCCATGTCAAGTTCCTGTCATTAGCTCTGATTTTTTAAACCAACATCATTAACAGACGCTTTTGTGCTCAGTCAACGGTTGTCGAATAGAACGAAAAATCTCTCCAACATAAAAGTGACCACATAATGACATTATATTATAGCAACCCGAAATAGTTTGCTATTAGTAGTTAAGTTTGCTCATAAACGCGGATCATGAAGTTAAGGCTTGACCACGAGATTTATTCGGTGCCCATACCGCACAAAAGGAATCTGCAGCGCAAAGTTAGGTTGCCATGCCAAATGCAAATCTAGACTTTACGGGCTTGGCCAGTACAGCTGGTCTATACGTGCTATCAAAGGCTTGATCGGTGTAGAACAACGCATTGAGGAGCACGGATGAGATAGCAACAAGCGGATAAGGGAAGGATCCTACGGAGTAAGAGCGGACTTGGATAGGAACCGAAGATAGAAGATTGCGGATTAAACCGGAGCCTTGAAGCAACATTCTCGGCACAGTTGGAGGGATGAGGAAACCAGCGGGGAGTCTAATAGATTTCAAATAGGTCTAGATAAACGAGTGAGAAATTGTGATATTGAAAAGATGATACGAGGATATAGGATGGTTGAATAGCCCAGGACGGAGAAATAGATACCACAACTGTTTCGTACACATTTGGTTAAAGGATCACCTTCACATGCCCCTTCAACGAGTTGTAGTGTGGTGCTAAGGCCGCCAAGGCTCATTGATGATACCGGATATAGTCTTGGAATGTACCAAGTCCACGGTCATAATTTGAAAAATATCGTGCATACTATGGACAAGGTGCATTCCTCTAGGTCTTCCTTCCAATATGGCCAAGTTGCGCAAACAAGGTAAAACAACTTCTATACAACGAGAGGAGACCGCGACCATACAAAGAGCCATACCATCCTA